GGCCACTGCACTCCAGTCTGGGAGACAGAGTGAGACTCCAACTCAAAAAAAAAGAAAATTTGGGGCTGGGCATGGTGGCACAAGTCTGTAGTTCCAGCTACTTGGAAGGCTGAGGTGGAAGGATCGCCTGAGGCCAGCAGGTCAAGGCTGTGGTGGCTGTGAGCGTGCCCCTGCACTCCAGCCTGGGCAACAGAGTGAGATTCCAACTCAAAAAAAAAATTTTTGTTAAATAATTTATAATGAATACTATTAAATGAGACCCATCTTTCTATGTAGGAACTAATTTTGCATTTCTCTCTTCATTGGTCTCTGTTAAATATTTAATCAGCATATTGACTGAGAACCACAGAATCCAGCCAGCATTCATTCAATAAGTCTTTACTATCAAGTGATAAGATGTACAACAAGTTAAGACTCATCTGCACACTGTGACACTCAGAAAGACCTCTTTGGTTATTTGACTACTTTCTCTTCTCTCTACGAGGTCAGAGTCTCTGTCTTGTTCATATTTATGATTTCTGCTGTGTGATAGGTGAGAAAAAACTGTTAATTTAAATTGGCTAATATATAAATATGATTATTATTGCCCTTAGAGAGCTTTTGATATACTAAGGGTGAGAGAAGATATCTGATAATGCAGCTCATAAGTGCCATAAATCATAACCAAAATTGTATAGGAATTACTTTATACCCTTATTAACTTGACAACTATTTATCAGGCATCTTCAGGTACTGGGCACATGATTGCAAATAAGAGACACAATTCTGGCTTTCACATGGCCACTTTGCACCGCTTTTATCACTACCTGATTGGTCTATGCCACCAGCACCTTTTGCTTGGATCATTGATGCAATCGTCCAATGCTAGAATCCCAACTCATTTCCCTGCTCCAGCTTTGTTCCTCTCTCGACTGTGTCCAGAGACATCTCACTGAAGCCTGCATTAGAGGGTGTCATTCTTCTGCTCTGAAACCATCAATGGCTTCTCATCTGTAGGAGACTGCAGAAATGGTCCCAAGTCTTTCATTTTCTACTATCAAGAGGAGGATCCTGTTTGTCAGACCGTTGAGCCTGGGCTGGCCTTGTGACTTTCTTTGGCCAATAAAATGTGGCAAGTAGGGCTTTGTGCTAGTTCCCATTGAGCCTGAGTGGGCCTCAGGAGGCTTCGAATGCTTTTGCTCTGACTCTTGGCATCCTGCTAGCTACATCCTGCTCAGACAAGCCTGTTGGGGGATGAGAGGCCACATGGAGGAGAAACACCCCGGGCAAGGCCATGCTAGATCAATTATTAGCCAGCCGGTCAGCTGTCTGAGGACACATGACCAAGTCCAGCTGAGATCAGCCTAATCCAGCCTACATCCAAAGAACCACCCAGATGACCCACAGACTCATGAGCTAGATAAATAGCTTAAGCCAACAAGCTTGCTGGTTGTTAGGTAGAAAGTGCTAATTGATACACCCATCTCATTCAGAGAAAAAGTCAAACTATTTTCATTAACTGTATTCCCAGTGCACAGAGCATTAACTATTTCAGTGAATATTTGTTGACTAAATTAATAAATTCATATATGGTGTTAACATTCTAATGAGGGAAACAGGAGGAAAAAACTCAATTATCCAATAAAATAATCAGAAAATTTGACAAGTGTTACAGAGAAAATAAACAGTAGCTGGGGTAGACAATAAGAGTAGAGATGGAAGGGTGGACCCTCCGGCTTCCCAGGTCTTTCAGAATAAAAACTGGAGTCTTTATAGCAATCTCCAAAGCCCTACAGGCCTCACCCCATTACCTCACTGACCTCCATCTCCTGCCCCTCTCTGTCTCTCTCCTCCAGCTCCCCTGGTCTCCCTGCCGCTCCTGAAATACTCCAGTCGCTCTTCCCCTCAGGGCTCAGCTGACTCCCTCACCTGGACTGTTCTTTCCTGAGACACCCACACCATTCACTTCCTCCAGGTCTCTGCTCAGATATCTCCCTTTTATCAAGGCCTTCCTGACCACCCTGCAGAAATAACATCCCCCTGACGCCCAGAATTCCCTAACCCCCAAGCAATCCTACTTTATTTTTCTTCACAGGAAAGGAATTTCATTTCACTCAATTGACCCTTAGGCCGGGTGCGGTGCCTTATGCCTGTAATCCTAGCACTTTGGGAGGCCCAGGAGAGAGAATTTCTTGAGCCCAGGAGACCAGCCTGGGCAACAGAATAAGACCAAAATTTGGATAACTTCCTGTCAACCCGGAGATTAAGCAAGGCAAGCATTGGGCTCTGAGCCACGCTGGGAAGGAGGGAAAGCCTTCTTAACAAGTTGAAATGCCCAGGCGATCGTTAAATTGCTCACTGAGATCTTCACAAACATCAATGGCTTCTCATCTGCTTCTCAGGGCGAGGCAAGGAATAGCCGCCTTGCATGGTCCCGGGCATTCAAGCTCCTTGCAATAGCCCTGGGAGGTGGCGGGGCAGGCTGTCTCATCCTCCATTGACAGGTGCGCATAAAGAAGGTCACAGAGCTTAAGTGAGCTGCCCAAGGCCACAGACATACACGTGGTAGCACTAAAATTCATATCGTGGTTGGTCTGACTCCAAGTGTAGTACTTGCTTCACTATTTTTTTTACTGATTCTCCATTCTGGGCTCTGACCTAGTGACCTTGAATCATAAAGACCCAGGGTCAATCTTGATCTCAACACAGAAGGCATCTTTTATCTAAAGCCTGCGAGCACCCTGCCAGGAGGCCCAGGCAGGGGGAGGCTTCCCGAGCAGCACTTCCAGAGCCTCTCCTGGGACTTTCAGGTCCACCCTGCCCTCGTGTTCAAGGGCCAGGAATGGAGAATGCCCTGGGCTTACTTGACGCCCAGACGGCCAAGGCTGGCCGGACTGTGAGGGACAGGAACCCTCAGGGGTGGGCAGCTGCTTTTTCTGAACCCCCAGAAGGAAATCTCACTCTCGTGGCTTCACTTTGGTGTCAAAATCAAGTTGTGTGACAATGGAAACCTTTTCCCGACTGTTCTCCCCTCTGCCCATGTTGACAGAAGACGGACTTGCTAATTCTGGTTGGGGTTTTTCCCTGCTTGGGCTGTTTTTCTCTTTTATCTTCATCAATTGAAGATGTCTTTCAAACTGTCGGAAGGTATCTGGGGTTTTGTGTATTTTTTTTTTCTTTCGCATAATTCTGTAGGTCTTTTCCCAGATGTGTATTTTCTCTCTGCTTCACTTCTAGCTTGTTGAAGTTTCCGCCCATGTGACTTCCAGCGTGAGTTACCAGAAACCACAAGAGAGAGCGCGCAAGCCCCAAGCGGGCGACATGTCCCTGTGGGGAGCAGTCCTTCTGCACCCCAGAGAGAGCAGGACGCAGGGTCGGAGGTGGCTGCAGGGCAGGCAGGGGACACACCTGCAGGGGGTAGAGGGCTGGTGGCCTGACAGCAGCCAGGAAGGGAGGCCCGCGGTGACCAGAGAGCCCAGAGGTGCCCGGGGCTGCGTGTGGGAGCCGGAAGAGCCCAGCCATGCCTCACAGCTCCGACAGCAGCGACTCCAGCTTCAGCCGCTCTCCTCCCCCTGGCAAACAGGTAGAGTCCCCTTCCCCTCTCTCCTCCTTCTGATTCTCCTAAGGGGGTGGGGGGCAAGGAGAGGGACAGGCTGCCTTGTCCTGCCTAGGTAGCCAGGGAGTGAGGAAGTGGCTGGTGGCATCAGCTCTCTGTTAGACTGGGCGTTTGCTATGAAGCAGGCTTATTGGTGGAGACCCTCATTCTTCACCCATTCTGCCGAAGCCCCTCCTCCTCTGCATTCCCAGATGGTACCTACAGCCTCTACCTCCCAGGGGCTCCCACCCCACAAAGCTTTCTAGGAAGCACAGCGGAGGATGAACTCCGAAGAGCTCGGAGGCAAGTCTACTGTTCAAGGCAGCAGCAAAGTGAGAGGAGGAGTTTCCCAGGGGCTGCTGGCATGTACAGCTCAAATTCTAGAGTTGTGGTTTCCCAGGAGAGCACCAACAGGGCAAGAGAGAAGAGCGGTCAGGGAAAAGAGAAAAAGCAAGTTAGCAGGTTAGGAGGGGAAGCCCACGAGCACAGAAGGCTCTCTCTGCCGGGCACTGCACCTGCTGCCAGTGCAGCCAGCAGGGAGGGATGCCAGAGCTCCGGCCATGCCTCCCCATTCAGCCTGTGGGCAGGAAGGAAATGAGGAGGCGACTGGAAACTCGTGGAGACATCTGTTAGCATCCCAGCTGCAGGAAAACCAGAGAGACTAAGGTAGGGCTTCTGGGATCACCTAGAGTCCAGAACGTTTTCGGCTTGAGGATTGCAAAAGAACGGAGCCCCGGCCCACCTCACTGCTTCTGGGATGCTCTTCTGGCCACACGCTTGTCATCCCTTGCCACGAGAAGCCCTCCTCTTTCTCACCCGTATCCATGGATTAAAACCTTCCCCACCCTTGTGGTTTAAAAACTGCATCCTTCCCTGAGTTCACATCTCCAGGTGGGTTTTCAAAATGCTGTAGCCACATTAAAAGTACACACACATCGAACACAGCATCCATCCTAAGCATCTAACAACAGAGCAGCAGGACAGAAGTCCTGGCAGAGACCCCCAGGGGGCAAACAGTCCAGTCCTCTGCCCAAGGTGCTATCAGAGTGGCTCTGACTGCCTGGAAGTTGGTGCTCTTCTTAGGAAGGAAATTAATCATGGGTTCCATGGTAACCTAGTGCCCTGTCCCCCTCAGAGGAAGCATACTTACTTCCTATGTAACCCAACACCCGCCTCCTGCAATGGCCTGGGAATATTGGACATGTTGGTGAGACCAAGGCTTGGTGAGCTCAGAGCCCTGCCCTGGTATCTGTGTCCCTCCAGCCTGTGGAGAATGGGGAGGGAACAGGAGGGGAGCTACAGAAGGGCTTCACCCAGACTCCTACACTTACCCTGCAGCATCTGGGGAGAGCTGGGGTGAACCTCTCTGCCCAAGCTGAAGACATGCCCGTCTATGGGTGTAATCAGAGAACGCCCTAAGTTCCCCTTATCCTCCCAAGCACCCCTCCACTACCTGCCACAGCCAGGTCACCTCCACCATTGATCTTGTTCTTCTTGACATCTCTGTGCTCAGGGCCATGGGAAACATCAAGGTGGCTGAGCACCGAGGCAACGAAGGCAGATCTGGGATGGGCCCTCGGGTCAGGGATGCAGCAGAAGACCCCCTGGGGTGCAAAGCCATGAGGTTGCTAGTAGTGGGGGTCTTGGGAGGGCACCAGGCTTGGCACCAGAAGATGCAGCCCTCGCTGCCCACCATGAGCCCATGGGCAATCTCTCAGAGCCTCAGTGTCCTCACATGGAAAATGGAAATAACAATGTCCACTTCACAGCATCGGGGAATTAAACAAGAACACCTCTGAAAGAGCACTTGCACAGAGGTTGGCACACAGTAGGCGCTCAACAAAGTTGTGAAGAAAAAAAACAGCTGAAAGAACACCAAGAAAATTTTAGGCTAAAAAGTGAGAGGGAGTCTGGAGCAGCCCTGGAGGGCAGAGGTGAGAAAACACACTTCATCTCCTTCACCATTTTGGCCAGCTACACCCCTGTTGAGGCCTCCAGCCTCTTGCCTTTTTCCTGTAGCTATTGGTCAGAAGTCATAGTGCCCTGGAGGTGAATAACAGGGCATGAGGAAGAGCTCTCCCTTGAGCATGGAGCAGCCATGAAGGGAGGAGACAAGGAAGGGGAATGGATGGACGCCCCCACCCAGCGAGCAGCTCCTCTTGGAGGAGAGCGCAGGCTTGCCCATTTCTTATGGTCTCTGCTTCCCAGGACTCATCCGATGATGTGAGAAAAGTGCAGAGAAGGGAGAAAAACCGCATTGCCGCCCAGAAGAGCCGGCAGAGGCAGACGCAGAAAGCTGACACCCTGCACCTGGTGAGTGTTTGGGTCTTTCTTCACCCTCCTGAGCCCCTGGCCTTGCCCCCACCCAGACTAGAGCTCTGCTTCTGGCTATGTGGAGATGCATATGTGGGAAGATACATGGATGGCGAGGGTGTGGGGTGAGGTGGGAGAGGAGGCTTTCCTACAAGTAGTGCTCTAGAAGGTTCTGTAGCAGGGAAAGGGCCAGGAGGCTGAACAGAGAAATGAGCCTTTCTGCCCCAGGAGGACTCAAGGACTGGGTGAGCTGGGTGTGAGAAGCCCAGAGGCTGAGCGGAAGGCAGGACCACTGCTCAGGGGTGGGCAGCCAGAGAGCACCCCATCCTTCCTGAGCCATTGAGGGCAGAAGGCAGAGTTGTCTTTGGGGGGAACTTAGAAGATGATAAGTCCTTTGGGGGAGCCTGTTATGTTTCAGTACAAAGATCACACATAGACTCATCCCTTGGGAGGGTAGCTGGACAACCAGCCAAATATATCGAGGACAAGTCCTCTTTTCTGGGCATCATTAAACGTTTTATTTGGAAATTTCTGTCTTTAATGCTATCCCAAGCGGTCTGTGAAAGATGCAGCTTCAAGTGCACTTATCTGGGGCGGTCATCATCCTGGCTGAGCTGCCTCTGGTCCCACATTTTTCTAGAGAAAGTCTTGGTTGAATTGCGGTTCCCCTGGTGGTGCAAGGCCCTAGTCAGTGTCTCTCGTTCTGGTCGTGAACTGCCTAAGCAGTGTCTCCTCCTCATCTCTCGAATCTTACTGCCTTAGCACTCTGCCCCTAGTTTGGTTCTTGTTCACCCAACTCCTATTCACTGGCTCCTTCCTCTCCATCCCCTCATCCCTTCTGCTAGCAGCTCCGCCATCCCGGCCTTCCTCCTGAAGCATCCCCACACCTCTCAACCTCGTCATTCCTTTCTGTGGAAGTACAATTGGCAGCAAAAATGAATAAGCTAGCACTTATTTGGGCGATTAGCAAGGCAATCGACCAGTTAGAAAGGCTGTTTTAACTTTATCAAGAATAAATAAGATGTTGTTTTGGGGGTGGGGGCGAGGAAGGTGCTTCCTTTAGCTTTCTATGGAAACAGAAAGCAGCCGCACCAACATCTCGGATGCTGGTGTTTTATTTGAAGTGTATTCGGCATGTCCTTCATTACACACTAACCTAGTCTTAAGTTCTTAAGTATTTGTGAAGTTGAAAAAAAGAATGTGTGAGCAGCGAGTCTGAGCCAGCTGTGATCAGCAGTCGAAAGCCAAGTTGCTGGTGGCTCTGCTGCCTGTGTGCTCTCCGTGGTGCATGTGGCTTGGGTCTCACCACACTCCGGCTTACTGTTAAGCTTGAACATCTAGAACCCTTCCCTTGGTCGCCATCAGAGTCTGACTCAGTCTTTTGTAGAGAAAGTCAGCAAACAAATATATAAAAATCTAAAAGGTCACAATCTTCTTTCTATACAAGTAGACAAGGGTCTGGGACTGCAAACTGCTATAAGCCTTTTAAATTTATAATGCACACTTTTTTTTTTGAGTTTGGGTCTCACTCTGTTGCCCAGGCTGGAGTGCAATGGCATGATTACGGTATCATACACACACGTTTAAGTGGAAAGTGAGTGTGGCTCAGCCGCTCTGTGGTCAGAGGACAGGGTCTGAATCCCTGTGCTGTCACTCGTCTGTGTGATGACCTCAGAGATATTCTTAACCTCGCTCAGACTTGGTTTCCTTTTATTTGCCCTGCAATTAAGAGACAGTTATTCTTTTCATGACTTTTCTCTTTGATAGATTTCACATATAAGAACGAGAAAACTGTCTCATCACCTCTATAATTTATGTGACAGAAAATAGACATTACGCACTATATATTTCACACTGTTTTCCATGTCAAAGAGAAAAATGGCAAGGAAATAAGAAATTATAAAGAATTTATCTGATAAAGTTGCAGGGCATATTCTAAGGGCCTGGAGTCAGTATTGATGACCTTGTTTTATCTTATGATTAAATTGTATTCAGTATACTTAATTTGGCTAAGAACTAGAGTAGTCATTAATTAAAATGGAATAAAATAAATAAAATGGAAAATAACAGTAACTACCTCATAGAAACAGTGCATATGGTGAGCTCAACACAGTGTCTGGCATACAATAACCACTCAAAAAATTAAGTATACTAAGAGTAATAATAAACTGGGCTCGGTGGCTCAGCCTGTAATCCCGCACTTTTGGGAGGGTGAGGTGAGTGGATTGCCTGAGCCCATGGGTTCGAGACCCGCCTGGGCAACTTGGCGAGATCTCATCTCTACAATAAAGCAAAAATTAGCCGGGTATGGTAGCACGCGCCTGTAGTTCCAGCTATTGGAAGGCTGAGGTGGAAGGATCACCGGAGCCCAGCAGGTCGAGGCTGCAGTGGCCGGGAGCGGCCACTGCACTCCAGTCTGGGCGACAGAGTGAGACTCCAACTCAAAAAAAAAAAAAAAAGAGTAATAATAATAATTGTTATCAGAAACATGATAAATAATCCCAACTAAGATTGTATGCACACGCACACACACACACAATCACAGAATCTCAGGATTGAAATTTTATTCGTTTGTTATTTATTTTTTTGAGACAGAATCTTGCTCTGTTGTCCAGGCTGAAATGCAGTGGTGCGATTATAGCTCACTGCAGTCTTGACCCCCTGGGCTCAAATGATCCTCCCACCTCAGTCCCCAAAAGGCTGGGACTATAGGTGCACACCACCATGCCCACCTAATTTTTTATTTTTTGTAGAGACAGAGGTCTCACTGTGTTGCCAAGCTGGGCTTGAACTCTTGGCTTCAAGTGGTCCGACAGCCTCCACCTCCTAGAGGTCCGGAATTATAGGCATAAAACATTGCACCATCTTGACAGATTTCTTAACGTCTAGATGTTTCAGACACACTTTTCATGCCTGAGACTTCTCCACAGCACCCCCGCTGAAGGTCCCCAGTGTATACTTGGTACTTCTGGTGATGGAGAGCCTCTTCCTGCCTAACCCACAATTTATAGGGAGTCTTACCTGTCTCAAGCTGCACCCATCTCCCTATAAATTCAAGCCACTGGTCTTTGCCCAACCCCTTGGGTCATAGCAATGAAGGTTGGATATATGTTTTTTTGCTGCAGCAAAATTTTCAACTCTGACTCAGTCACCTTGCTCTGTGAGACAAAAGTCAGAAGCAACAGATTCAGCCCATCTCAATGTGCTAGTCAAGGCAGAGCAGCTGAGTCACCCTCACTTTCCACTGAAAAATAACATGATCGTACCACTGCACTCCAGCCTGGGCAACAGAGCCAGACCCAAACTCAAAAGAGATATATGTACTATAAACTTAAAAGTTGCATAGCAGTTTGCCAGTCTCAGGACCTTGTCTACTTGTACAGAAGGAAGATTCTGTCCTTTTATGCTTTTATTTATTGTGCTTGCTCTAAAAATACTGAGTCATGACTCTGGAGCCAGCCTCAGTCTCCAGAACGCTCCCATCTTCCTCTGCTCCTCCCCTACTCCCTTCCTGTGAGCACTGCAGTGTTCATCTTTACTTTTTGCCCAGTGAGGAGGTCACTTCAGAGTTGCCACAGCAAGCCTGCAGCCCGCTGTCAAGGCAACTTATGTTTCTTGGCTTTAGGTGGAAGCTTCTGGCAGCAACATGTTCTTCTGCAACCATCAAGCAGAGCATTTGCCTGCGGTGTGGAATCTTCATTTCCTCTCAGACGATAGTCACTCACCTTCTCCGCCCATCAGCCTCTTAATTCTGCTTGTGAGCCAGGCAGAAAGTCTTCTTGCTCACCGTTGTGTCTCAGGGTTTAGTGCCTGGTGTGCCCTTGACTCCTTTCCTTGCTTGGCTGCAATGTGAGGTTCTCGCATCATCCTCTGACCCTCAGATAGTCATAGGACTCATCTACCCACCCAAAGAAAATACAAAGCCCTGAAACCATAAAGGAAAAAGTTGACATCCAATACTCGTACACATAAAAGTGAACTTGTCTATGTAAATCAGAAAACTGTATGTGAACTCTACAGACCAGGATTTGGAAGCTGCTACGAACACAGTATCAAATAAGGACCATGTTAATATTAGGGTTTTAGCCTCATATGTAGTGTGGTGATGTCTTTTTGGTTTCAACTGTTTTCACTGTTGTGTGCCTTAAAATACCAAAGCAATTATCTTGTTTCTCCAGGGAGAGTGTGGGATGTTCAGTATCTATCCTATAAATGGCTTACACCAAGACACTGCGTGTTGATTGCTTTTAAAAATAACAGAGTAGGGAAGGAGGCTTTTTTGATGATTGTGTTATAATAATCCCCAGCCTTGTCTGCCCTGACAGAAAAAGCATCGGGTGACTCTTTTCATAATTGTGACATCAATGAGCAGAGTCCACATTCTGTTTTGATTCTGCTTTGGTTGAGCATCTCACACAAGCACCATCACACCAAGTTCCTTTTCACCCACAGACGACAGGGTCCAAAATGAGAAAGGCATAACTTGACCAGGTAGTTTCTAAAAGGTATCAGTAGCTAATAAGTGGATCTAAGATCATCAGCTAAAAGTTGTTGGAAATACTAGGAGAATTCAGTCAGTTTCTAAAATTAATACAAAAGTAATCACTTCCCTACATGCAAACCATAACCAGTCGGAAAAGTTAAGTAAAGAGAGATCCTATTTATAATATCAAAAACAACAAATGGAAGGAAGGAATAAACTTAATACAAAAATATGAAGGACTTGACTTTATTTTAAATTATTCTAAATGACTGTTAAAAGATTCTAGTAATTGGAATAGCAGTTTTCTTTAAATTAATCTATGAATGCAATGTGATCCCAATAAAAATCCAAAGGGTTTTCTGGGATTTGGGGAGGAACTAGACGAACTATTTTAAGTTTCCAGTGAAAAAGAACCATGTGAAAATTGTCAGGAAAATACTACACAAGAAAGGTAACAAGAAAAGGTTAGTGGACCAAGATATTAAAACGAACTACAAATACAGAAATTAAAACAGCA